CCTCCACCACCACTGACCAAATCGCCTCCACCACCACTGACCAAATCGCCTCCACCACCACTGACCAAATCGCCTCCACCACCACTGACCAAATCACCACCACCACCACTGACCAAATCACCTCCTATGGCACCAAAGTTCTCTGCTTCTTCCTGGAATTTTGGCCTAACCACTGCCTGGCAGCCCAGAATCTAGGTTGGGATCCCCCTCTTAGATCTATACGCCCCAGGTGACCATCACAAGACCCATCATACTTTGTTGCTACTGCTTATACTTCTGCCACCCCTTAAAACTGGGAGCTTTGTGAATGTGGACAACAAATCTCACTCGCTTCCACAACTCCAGCATCTCCCATTCCAGAGCCTAGATCAAAGCAGGTACTTGTGTAATGAGCCTGTGTGCCTGTTACCTTTCAGTACAATTACCCAATGTATCTGCTACCAGTGTTAAGAGAGTAGAGCAAAATCTACTTTTATAGTGTATTATACAGACACCAATTTCTGCCCCTTACTTGTTGTTGGGACTCATGTTGTGGCACTGTGGGACAAGCTCATGACCCCAAACCACAAGGTCAGCAGTTCAAACTTATACACGGAAACCCTATACAGGGTCGCTATTAGTCACAACTTACTGGATGGCACTTAACAACAACACTTGTTGTATGACCTTAGACAAGTAGGTTTCCTGCATCTGAGTTGCCAATTCCACATCTGTAAAATAAGGGTAAAGTGGTAACTCTCGCCCAGCACTGGACTGGCAGTTCAAGCCTACCAGCTGTTCCTCAGAAATCTTATATAGGGTCGTTATAAGTCTGAACCAACTCTATGGCACTAAACAACAACACAGTCTCCCAAGAGGAATCCTGGTGTGGCACTGTAGAATAAGCACTGTTAACCGCAAGGTTGGTGGTTCAAACTACCAGTTCCTCCTTGGAAACCCTATATAGGGTCGCTATGAGTACTCATAGCAACAACAGACCTCCCCAGAAGTGTCCTGAGATATTAAAACCCAACTTGGCACACAGTATCAGTAACTACACATCCACAGTTAACACTGCGTTTCATTGGGGGAGATATTAGAGATGCTGGTTAAGAGCATGGACCCTGGAATCAGATAATCCTTCAATGCCAGCAAGGCACATGCACCTTAGGCACATGACTCAAAGCTCAAGCTTCCATTTCTACATATGTAAAATGGGGATAATGTACCTATCTCCACTTACCATGTTGTTATGTGCCGTGGAGTCAGTTCTGACTCATAGTAACCCTGCGTAGGGTTTCCGAGGTAGCATAGTGGTTACAAATTGGGCTGCGAACCTTAAGGTCAGCAGTTCGAAACTACCAGATGTTCTGTGGGAGAAAGATGAGGCTTCCTACGCCCGTAAAAAGATTTGTAGCCTTGGAAACCCTATACAGGGTCGCTATGAGTCGGAACCGACTCCATGGCAATCACGACGACGACGAAATCTTTACCAGAGCAGAGAACCTCATCCTTCTCCCGCGGAACAGCTGGTAGTTTCGAACTGCTGACCAAGAGATTAGTAAGAGCTCCTTGTTATTGTTATGTGCCGTGGAGTCAGTTCCGACTCATAGTGACCCTGTACAGGTTTCCCAAGGTTGTAAACCTTTACGAGAGCAGAAAGCCTCATCTTTCTCCCACGGAGCAGCTGGTAGTTTCCAACGACTGACCTCGAGGTTCGCAGCCCGATTCATAACCACTATGCTACCAGAGCTCGTTACCAGAGCTCCGTAGCGAGGATCAAATGAGCTAGCAACAGTAAAAGGCTTGCATAGCACAGTGCAGAGGGCTTTGTGGAAGGCACCGAAACTGGTAGACAGAAATGACTACAGCATCCCAAATATTAGCTGGTTACTCTGTGTCAGGCCTAGTGCTAAACGATTTATTGATTGCTGCTGTTGCTGTTACGTGCCAC